TTAATTAAGCTTTAAACTGCTGAGTTAAACTCGACATGCAACCACCAAACCTAAGATGTGTCTGTGCAGAGGCAATTAAATTAAATCTCTTAGGATTCACACACATGGCAGGAATCCAGGCCAGAAACTCAAACTTACCACGTTCACGAACAATGACTGGCAGTAAGAAAGAGAGAAGAGTATAAAGTAAGAAACTCATCAAAACCACAATTAGTTGTCTTTACTTAAAACTGGCTCTATGAACACATCCGGCCTGGATGCAGGTTTTATCAAAATACTGATGGAAACATTTTGCTCTAACACAGTAAGTATTTGGGGATTCAGAAGCCATGAGAGTGGGCTCTAACCAGAAAGAGTTAAGGTTTTAATCAGGAAGAGAATGACCTTGACATTCATTAGTTACTTACGTGTTCCCTCTTCAGTAACCATCCCCAGGCCTTCTGCTTTATTCTGCCTCTCAAAGGCATTCAAATCAAGGACACTTTTAACAGACAAAAGAAAACAAGGTTCAGGGCTATGCATGCTGGGGAAATGGATTTGTAATGCCAGTGTCTCTATTGACTAAGAATATCCTGTCCCTCTATTATTATAGATGGACTAACCCATTAAGGTATGGTTCAAAATCCAGCAGTCCCTCGGCTTTGTGCCAACCAATGTTTACAGACACTGTGACTCAGATCTTGTCAAGAGCATGGAGAAGGGTCATAAACACTCCAACTCTCATTGTCCAGTCTGTGTCCTTGCTAATAAACAAAGGTTCAGAAAGGCTTCCCAAATGAGGAAGAATTGATCTGTTTCTAAGGTCTCTTCAGGAACAGTTTACTATCAACTGTTCCCTCCTTTTCCTTCTTTCTCTGAGGATCACATGGACTTGTGACTTCCAGAGCACAGGATGAGTACTGATGGAGAGTGCTAACACATCCAGATTTTGAAGGCTACACCCTTTGATGATCCTACATAGTTCAGGAGCCAAAAGCATGGATAGTAAGCTTTCACAGGCAGTGGTGTTCTGAGGTGTTCCCGAACTTGTGACAAGCTGGTCTTTTTGTCCCTACTTTCTCCAACCTCCTCCTGGTCACCACTACAGCCAAATTTTATGTAGCCATGAACCACCATAAAGCTTGATAATAAGAGCACTGTATGATCAGATTGTTTCCAAACAGGGTTCCTATTTTACCCAAAGAGTCTAACTTTCCCCCACTTGAAGGTTTTCGAAAACATAAGGTCTTATAAGAATGTAACTCTTGGGAAGTTTATGACTGAGTCCATTAAGACTCTGTAAAACCTAGCCTTCCTCCTACTACTGGGCAAAGGACTGGAAGGACACTGGTATTTCTTTTTTCTTTTTAGAGAATCACATGTTCTGCAATCCAGGTGAATTTTAAACAGAAAACAGTGAAATTTCTATTGCTATCTTTCTTGTTTTCTCTCCAGATTCTACTATAAAAAGGGCCTGTGCAACCACAAGCAACTATCCTTCTATTTTGGTTTTGTGTCAGGGGAGGATAACATGGAAAAGGACATTTGGACCCAGTTGTTTTGATTTTGAATCTTTGCAATGAAATTTCTGATCTTCACTCCATCTCTAAACACCAAGGCTGAATGTTTTAATGTCTCTCCCACTTTTAGATGTTTTAAAAATACGTATTATTTTTATAATTACCAAAATCCATTAACATATCTTAAAATTTGTGTTAGGAGTCAATTGGCGACTAAGTGTATGTTACCTGTCCCTCCCTACCATCATTATAAAAAAATTTACAAACAAACTTAGCAATATTGAGTACTATGGAATAGTGAGAGTCCTTTAAGAAATTTAATGGAGAATTTCATGAGCAATTGCCTTGATTTTTGCCATTTCTGAGTCCACATGTACTATTTTCCTCCCAGTTAGCAGACTTAGAAGTATTACATTTTCTTTTCCTAAGAGAGATAATAAACTAATAGTTAGTAGGAAAAAAATGATATTGAGAATAAGGGATCAAATTGCAGCTCAAATAAGCCCCTTATTGCGCCAGGGTACAATATTTACCTAATCAAATAAGGTTAGCAAAATTATGAAGTCTGCTGAAAGAAAAGCTGTTCTTCCTCCAAATTTTCAAGTGCAAAACCTAATGTTCCATTTTAAATCATATTACTTAGAGGGAATTGAGCTAAATTATTATAACTTTGATTTCTTTTCAAATGAGCTCTGGATTATTTGAAATACACATGAATTTTAGAGAACAAGGTGATATTTTTCTTGGAAGGACTTCTGGATCATTTCTGAAATGAGCAAGAGTGGTTATCTTATGACTTTGGGTTATATATTATTTATTTATCAGAGGGTTCAGCTAGGAGAGGTGACTTACACAACTTGGTAATATAAACTGACATGTTGATACTTTGTTTTTTAGGTTATACCAAAATGTTCCTATGCTAAGATATACCTCATCAAAATGGATGTGACAAAATACTCAAAGATCATTAAAGACAAAGATTAATAAAGTGCCTAATGGGTCTAATGAAAACAGTCTTGAGTCATAGTGAGGGATTCTCCTTTCCCCCCACTCCTTTTTGGTCTGACTTTTCTGGGCACACGTTTGAGGAGAAACTAAAAGTATAGACTGAGCCTCCCAGGAAAAGAATCTAATGCAAAAGGACATGAGAAAGGGGAGAAAAAGACAACAGCTGTTAGTAGGAAAAAAATGTGCTGCTCTGACGCACACCTGCAATCCCAGTGACTCGGGAGGCTGAGGCAAGAGGATCACAAGTTCAAGGTCAGCCTCCGAAATTTCACAAGACTCTGTCTCAAAACAAAAAGTAAAAAGGGCTGGGGATAGCTCAGTGGTAGAGAGGCCTTGGGTTCAATCCCAGTTTGTGGTGTGGTGGGGGACACATCAACAGTGGTGAAGTGTCTGTCTGTGGCTAACGGAGATTACATTTCCCCTCTGAATGCTGTTTGAATGTAACCCCAGAGGCTGGAGAACCATACCCACCCTTCAGCTTTCTACAGTAGGCGACTCCTGAGCCTTCTTTCAATAATTCCATGACATGCCAGTTAATTTTATGCATCTGTCCCCCTTTCTCTTGAATAATGAACCATTTTAAGAAATGCTGAGTGCTTTCCTCATATTTACCTGCAAGATTGCATAAGACCAGAAAGGCTTTGGAAGAATCCAGCATCTTTTTTCTCCTTTAAGTAATCTAGCATTTTCTGCAAGGGAGACATATTTTAAAGGGAAAAGCAATGAAAGCTGTGCCACAAGTATTGATTCTCTTAATCCCAATAGAATAACTGCAAATCCCCAGATGCAGGGATATCAGAATCACCAACGGAATTCAAAACAAAAGAAAAACATACATGTCTGAGTCTCACTCTCTTACAGAACCTTTACTTACAGTGAGAATCTCTTGGATGGATTAGGCTTGTTTTATAAAGGCTTACTAGTATTTCTGCTAGAGCAGCAGGTAGACCTTTGACTTCATGGATCTGTTTGAAGTCACTCATATTTGGGAACTGTGACATAGTAATGCTTAATGTTGCTGAGGTATATTCTGAATTGCTCATGCTTATGAATTTGGCGAAAATTTGGAGAAAAAAAATCTTAGAAATGAACTTAGTTGAAAGCTCAGTATTTCACAAGAGACATCTCCTGTATTCTCTATTATGGGGAAGACAGGAACTTTGTCTTTTTTTTTCAATAAGCAAAATAAAAATTAACAAGAGAGATCCTTCAAGATAGTCAGTTGGCAAGTGCTGGTGGACAAAGCAGAAAATAAGACACAACTAAGCAAATGACAGTTCCTACTAAAGAATTTGTTTAGACTGAGTTAAAGACTAGGCAAACCAAAATAGAAGGATAGTTGCTTGTGGTTGTACAGGCCCCATATAGTGGTTATGATTTGGATATTCTCAGAGACTCTGGGATATAATTTCATGAATGTCAAAAGTCTGTTGGACACTTTGCCAAGAGGTGCACAGAGGTGCTCTTAGCCATATCTTGAAGTGCCTGGGGGATACCAATGCACTCCTGGTCTTCTGCATTCATTTCCAATTCAGATAACAGAATTAATACAAAAATGTATGCTTTTAATGTATTTATCAAACATTAAAAATAAATAGATATGCAATTAAAAAATAGAATTAATGCCATGTGCCAGGCCCTTGTTGTGTGCTTCTGTGAATTGTCCCATTTAATGTCTAATAGAATGTCAGCTGCATGTTGGCAGGGGGTTTTGTTTGTCTCACTACACCCTCAGCCCTTACAGTGAATAATTGTTGAACAAATGAATGAAGGAATAAGTGAATGAATAACAGTCATGTGGGGTTATCAAACCCCCAACCACAATGACAAGGTGGTCACTGTAAAGTAGCTAGTAAGTGAAGAAACTAAAATAAAAACCCAAGGCTTAGTAAACTTCCTCTGGAGTATATATAGATTTTTGCAGAAAACCATCTATGATAAAAAGCAAAATTCCTTTTTTAACCCTGGGTAAAAGCTCTTTATTAAGTGTATATTTGCCTGTAAACTCCAAGCCCTGGTTTTTTCTGTGTTCCCAGCAACTCTGACATAATTGGCCACTAAGGAAAAACACCCACAAGGTGAATCTGGATGGCCTCCCTAGGCAGCAGTCAACACCTTTTCCATGAAGAGGCTGACGGCTGTCAAATGGAGTACCCCATGAACTCTGCACAACCTCCTGGAATCCTGTTACCTGTTGTACACCAGCGTTGCCTCCGTTCAGAATGGCAATCCCCAGCTTCAGAGTCTGGACCACCATGGGGCTCATCTCACCTGCCACAGTGAAGAGTTGATTGAATTACCATGGAAACAGGTGGTGAATCACACCTTCTGGGCTTATGAGGACTTGTTAATAATGACTGTGTCACGGCATGATCTCTCTATGGTAGTCACATGGGTTCATCAGAAGTGGGCAAATCACCTTTGCTGGCGCTTATCATCTGAAGCACCATTTCTGCAGCACCTCGCTCATGCAGTCGAGCTTGCTGATAGAGGGTTTTCTGCTTCTCCATCTCTTTCTCCTAGAAAAAAAAAGTCTCAGGGAAATATCTGTCTCCCAGCTTCTGCTGCTCCTTCCCTATCTCTATCTGTCTTCTGTCCACATTCGCCTCCAGGAAATTCACTGGACTGAGGTAAGGTGAGAAAGTCTTTAGTTGCCTGAGGAAGGCATAATTTTGAATAAAATAAACCTCTGAAGTTTATTTATAAACATTGCCCAGCTTTCTAAAACTGTCTACCCATAATTCCTTCATGTTTTGATGGTGAATTTTCCATTTATGGTTATGCCAGGTAAAACAATCTCTTCCCCATTGATACTATAATTAATAGTAAGCAACCTAAGATTAAAATGTGTTTTTTCAATGTTTTGTCATCTGGGGGACCTGCTGAGGGGTCAACCTGATATCTATCTGAGTGGAAGAAAATGCCCACTTATCTAGAACACTCAGACCACAGTTAATAGACACTTTCCACCAGATCTCGGTACTAGATTGTCAAAGCTCTCCAGAAATGTAATTACATTCATTACTTCTGTTTTATTCTGTTTGGCACATTGACTATCAAATATCACAAGCAATTTAAAATAGTTTAATCTTAACAATTTCAGGGTCCCACACCCTAGATTTGCATTTATAGAAGAGTAGTGCAACAACCACCCAAGTGTCTCTATGGCTCTGATTTTTCACTCTGGATACTTGAATTTGTTCCTATTAGGATAATATTTAGGAAGAAGCAAAATATCTCCCATGAAACCAACCCAGTGGGGTGGTTTGCTGATCAGTGTGCTGCCTGCTCCCTTGCTAGGCAAGAGACAGACCACAGACACACAGGTGGGTGTTCTTTATGAAGGAACATCAGATACACTTGGTGGGTGAGCCCCATATGCTAAAGCCAGCACCACCTCTGAAGGCCCATCATGATGGCCTGGGAATGTGGCCCTGTTTTAATCTTTGTGAAAACTTACCTCAAATGTTTTTTCCTTGTCTTCATCCTCTTCTTCATCCTCACCACTCTGACAGCTCTGGGTTCCGCGGAGCAGAGAAAGGAGACAGAATTAAAATTAAAGGTGAGTGTGTCTTATAAACGATAAACTCTTCTACTTTGCAAGACAGGGGACAGGCTGAAATTCACAGGTTCTTCAGGATTTCAGCAGTTTGTAAAACCAGGAACATTTTGAGCACTGCAGGGCAACATTATAGTTTAAATGCCATCTTTGCAGTCATCATGCGGGTCAGAGATGAGAAATGGGAACACTGAGATCACATAATCAATGGGCACCTATCTGGTTGAACCACTGACCTGAACTGTCCTCCCTGGTAAAGTTCTGGTGTTAATGGAGAAACGAATGCAGGGACTGTAACACAGCACCAAGGCAATGGCAATAAGATTGGGATGTGATCCTAAGGTGCCCTTTCCCATTGTGGCCCTGTGGTGTAGCTGGATAAAGGCAGAGGTGCTCCTGCACCCCACATATCCTCCTTCCTGCCTGGCATGAGAGTTTTCTGGGAAGGAGCACTTTCCCATCCACTCCTCATTCCAGAATTCACCATCCTTCCAGGTGATATCTCCCTGGACACTCTCTCTCTTCTGGAACACTAGAATCTCCCTGGTTTCTAGACCTGTTTCCTTCACCTACAGATGTGTCTGAACCCTACTGAACATACAAAGATAGTCTATATGCCTGAGCCCCATTTAGCTGGCTACAGAACTGTCACATGAGCCTAGCCACCAGCAGCCGTGATTTCTGCAAAGCTTCAGGATTTCCTGAGGAGGATGGAGAGTGGATTTCTGATGCTACCCTTGTGACACATGACTCATGCAATGTCTGGAACCTATGCCTAACCAAGTCCCCATCCTCCTGCTCACATGACAGCTTCCATATGCCTGAAGAGGTCTAAAGGAGACAGACTGAGATAATGTGCAGAAAACGCTGGTGTACCTTGGCCATCATGCTGGAATAGGAGGTGTACAAAGGATCATCTTCCAATTTGCTGGAAAGAATGGAGGAAATATTTAGCAGGCTACTTTTTGGAACTCTCAGAAAACACTAACAGCCACATAAATCTCAAATTACATTATAAGTGAATTATTTAGTTGCTGAGGCTGGCCTTGAACTTTTGATCCTCCTTGCCTCAGCCTCTGGAGTCACTAGGATTACAGGCGTGTACCACCACACTGAGATAAATTATTTAAAAAATACTTTTCCTCACTCTGATTCTTAGAAATTGCTCTAAAAATTTGAATCAGCATGGGCTTGACATGGGATTAAGGGACAAGGTTACAACATCAGGCTGTCTAATCTTCAGACTCAGAGTTTGGCATTATGATGAGGACTGTGGCTTGATGTAGTTCCTCTAGAGGTTTCTTGATGGCCCCAAATAGGCCAGCTCAAACTTGACGTCCCTTCCACCCCATGCTGTCTGAAAGAGGAGGAGCTGGGGTTGACCTGACCATCCTCGCCACCCGGGAGGAGGGCCCTGGTTGTGCTGACCTCCTCTCTGTGAGAGCATTGCGGCTAAAATGGAGAATGATCTGATGAAGTGGGTCTGGTTGCTTTTCCATTTCTTCTTCCTCCTCCTCTTCCACCTTGGGAGACTTCTACACAGACCAACACAGATGGGTGTTAGGCACAAGTCTTAGCATGAGCCACATAACTGCATGCGAACAAAGAAAAGGTCAAGCGCAAGGCACAAAGGTCATCAGACTGAAAGCAGAAAAAGAAACCACACTACACCACATATTTATTTCAGGAGAGAAGTCCTGAGGATGCAAGGTTGGTGTATATATATATGTATATATATATATGTTTTTCCAGCCAATCAAAGAAACATTCCAATTTTAGGTTAAATAAAAGAAAAAGCAAAAAAGCTGACTACAGGGGAAGAACTATAGACCCCCATCAGCAGAACTCTCATGCAAGCTCTGGGCACCTGAGTTCAGGAGGGAAACCCTGCAGAGTTACCTATGAGACTCTCTCTCTCTGGCCAATACTTAAAATTTCCATTGGAGAACTGGGCTGGAGATGGAGTAGTGCAAAGTTACAAAGCTCTGGGGCCATTTGGGGTCTGTATTATCCTTCATTCAATCCAGCAAAACATATTGCTTTCTTAATCTCACATTCTACTCTAAAATTCTCATTGTTCCCCAGAGCTACTGTCCTGGAGCTGAAAGCCTGGCACTTCTCTTATCAAGTCTTTTCTCTTTGTTCTTTTACAGGAAGGGAAATAGCAGCTGATGCCAGAGGTAAAAGTGAATTTCCTAGCAGTGCCAAGTCAGCAGGGAGGATCGTATTTGGTGAACAACAGAGACTGTGTAAAAGACTAAGAAGGAGAGGATCAAAATGATGCTCATTTGTCAACTTCACACAAATTGAAAAAGTGGCCAACCAAGGAATTGTTTTTCTTACTGACAGAAATATATGGGAAGAATCAAGGACTGCCCCCCACCAAAAAAAAAAAAAAAAAAAAAAAGGAAGGAAAACAAGGAGACAGACTTAAGAGAAAAAAAAAAACAGGGAAGAGGAAAAGAAATAGTTTGAAGAGAGAAATGTGGAAAAGGGTAGATATAAGAAGCACAGTGTACAAGTAGGGGACAGTAAGTGATAAGAGAGAAATATAAATGGGAGAAATAGGGAAAAGGAGAAAACAGAACCATGAGAGAGTTTATTTTTCTTTCTGAACCAGGATGAGGCTCTGTGGTACCTTTGCAATATGCTTTTCCCCCTTGTGTGTCCTTTTGAGTAGTTCCAGAGCATAAAGTCTGTTAGAGACAGAGCATGCCAAATCTTCTGCAGGGCCAGTACAGAAATGTGAAATGCAGGAAGGGTAGGTATTTAGATGCATCTTCCCTAAAGCACAGCTATGGATTAGGAATGTCAGGTCTTGGCTGGGGTGGGGTGGCCTCCTGCAACCAGTGGTGCTCAAAACTTAACTTAGCATGAATTCTCCATGACATGGCTGCATTCAAGAAATATTAGTTGCTAATGATGATGAACATGAGAGTGAAAAGAGTATTAGCACCTCCAAGTGAAAATTCATCCTCTGGCTCTGATGACCATTAGCAGGGCCTCCCCTGAGAATTTACAGTTAGTTCCTTTCAAATTAATACATTTAGTTCTTTGGGAAGGTTTAACTGTTATCACACACATATGAACACCAAAATCAAATTCATTCACACCCATGTCTGCTCCAGTTGAGTCAGTACTTACAGCCAAATCCTGTACTAGTTTCTCTTCAAAGGAATACGCCTCTGTTTCTATCCAAAATCTCTGATAGCCATGGAGGAAGAGGTTAATAGAGCGGTGCCTGAGCGGAAGGGTGAGAGTGAGGTCAAGAGGGTTTGTGGGACTTGTCATTTTAGTTTGGGCGGTTCATGGTTAGTAAGCAGGACAGGCTTTTGTACAATTCTGATCTTCTGATTGGTCAGATCCACCAGCAGCTTACCATAAGCATTCATTGCAAAGAAAAGTGAACTCTCTAACTAGATGGTTCCCAAATACTGGAGCACCTTCTGAAAACAATGGTTAAAGCAAGCCACAGCAGTAGCTGTAACCCAAATCTGGTCTCACATGGTCTTTGTTGAATTTCCCGCTAGTGACAACTAATTAGGTCAAGTAACAGTCCTGAAGTATTTTTTTTTTTTTAATATGGCAATTTAGTCACTCCTTGGATTGGCCACTTGATCAGATAAACCAATCTAAATCATGCAGTTTCTAAGTAGCTGGCTTCAAGTATGCTGAAAACATCAATCTGTGGCTTTTTTTTTTTTTGCTTTTCCAAGCAACCACACCAGCAGGGGTGCTCTGGCTTTTACTTAGGAAGGTGAAACATGGGTACATTACATCACGAGCACATCTTCCTGTGCCTCAGGGATTCTAGCTATGCCCCTGGCATCTGAGTAACTGGCATGAGCCACTTCCTATAAGCCAGGGTTAACTTTTGAGAATATTAGCCCCTGAATATGAGGGGAATGGTGGGGGGAGGGAGAGAAAAGGAGATAAAAGTCAAGACCAGAGTCATTAAGCTCTAGTCATGGTTTTGGTAGAACACAACCTTTGCCATCTTTCTTTAAAATCTGACCAATCAGAATTCTTTTAAAAAAAATTGTACAAATTCGTGTTTTTATGGTAATATTAAATCATGATCAAGAGAGGAGGAGTGTGCACAGGTTACATTACCATTAAAATGGGTATAAGCCTGTCATACTGAGTTTTTTCATTAACCTTTTCCAGCCAAACCCGTTGAAAGGTGCTCAGGAAGAAATTGTTAATTGTGTGTCTGGAGAAAAGCACACAGGTTTTCTTTTAAAAACTGACACCAGAGAAACAGTTACCACATAATAAAATAAATCTATTTAGCTTGTTTTAGTTTGGAAGAATCTGTGTAGTTTAGATCATCACAAGGTGGGGAAGGAATTGTCTCCACCCGAGCATCTTGGTTAGTTGCTGCTCTTATGAAATCTACTTACAATCTTCCATGCTAGAGAGAAAACCCAGGGTAACCCTTCTAAAGTCTCTGAGTTAGGAGTAGCCACACCACATCAAGGATATGGTGAATTCCTGGACTTATTTGTATAGTGGTAGAATTACTGAAGGAATAGCCCAAATATGAAAGGAGAATACTAACATTTTCAGTGGATTTAGGAAAAAGTGGTTGATTTTGAGGGAGGTGATTTCTGCTTAGCTGGCCTTGCTGCTCTGGCGACATGTGCTTGGAACTGAGCTCTTTTGCAGGCCACGTTAGCACAGTGCCAGGTAGGGATCTCACACAGACAGAAAAGCGAATATATTTTAATGATTCCTTACTTCTAGGAAACAAGTCAAAAATCCTATGCATATTTGCTTTTTTCACTAAGCTATGAATTTCACCTTTCTGCTAGGACTTCAGCACCCTTCATGCCCATGACTATTAGACTTATTTTTTTTCAACTTTTTATTCATGAATTCTACTTGACTTAGTAATGCCTCAGTCTGTCCCAAAGACAGTAAACTGCTAGAGCAGTTCTGTGTCTCAGAGGCCCTGATTCTCCTTCATCTATGAAGGTTCTAATGAGTAAAGTTCAGTTGGCTCAGCACAGGGCAATAGATAGTCTGGATAAATGATGGCCAGGATCCACAGTTCAATGAAAGCAAAGGCTGAGCGGAGGAATGGTCCCCGATCTCATATTCCAAAAAACATACCTGTGTATATGGGATTTGGAGTATGCTTATCCAAGTCAATTTACTTTCCCTGACCAGGTGAGGATGTTCCCAGTGACTTGGAAGCTGATGAAGCAGAGGTTTAGAGTCAATTACCAGCTTTGTTTATTGATCATAGGCCTGACCTTACCCACTTTGCAATGAGTCTGAAGATGAGGATGTTTCCAAATCACCAAAGACAATGAGTCAGTCCCAGTGGTCAATGCTGACCCAGTCTGTCACTGATACTGTTATGGTTTGGCTCTTACATATCCACTAATGGCTATTTGTTGAAGGCTTAGTCACCAACCTTTGGTGCTGCTGGGAAGTGGGGAGCCTTCAGCAGGTGGGGCCTCGTGAAAGGAAGTTAGGTCAATGGGGGCATGACCTTGAATGGGATATTGTGACCCTGCCTCCTCCCTTTCTTTTTGCTTTCCAGCTGCCATGAAGTGAGCAGCTTTACTCCACCACCCATTCCCTGCTATGATGTTCTATCTTGCCGCAGGCACAGATCAAAGGAGCCAAGTGACCATGGATTATACCCACGAGTCAAAATAAATCTTTCCTCTTTTTAAGTTCATTTATCTCAGGTGTTTTGTCACAGTGACAGAAAGTTGACATAGATACTTTATGTGGACACAGAATGTTTCACACAATTTTCAGAAAAACCTTCATGCATTTTTTTTTACACTTTGAAGTGTGGGCTAAAACACCCAAATAAATGCACTGTGCCCCTGATTGTACTCTTGGGGCATTCTAGCTTTTCTTCATCTTGTTGGCAAATACACTGTGCTAAATTAGGATTCCCAGGTTATACTTCTGTATCTGCTAAGAAAACGGCAATTTTGGTGTCAAAGTGCATGAGAAGTTAAATATTGCTTGACCAGTTGGTGACTTGGGGATAAAGTGTTTTAGAAACCAGAACCCTTTTTCTAGAAGTCTTTACATCTTCATGAAGAGTCCTACCTCAGCTAATGAAGAGGGGCTCCTCAATGCTTACCTGGCTGACTTTACTGTAGGTACTAGTGCTGCACAGGTATGGGACGCTAGGGAATTTCACCACTTTTTAGGCTTACCTTGATTGCTTAGCAGGCCATCATACTCTACAGACTCCAAAGGCTCCATGAGCCAAGAACTCCAATTTCTATTCTTTGGGTGAAGAGTATAGAGGCCAAAACAGAGCACAGCTGTGGAAGGAAACTTAATTGCCACTGCCAGCTCATGGGTCAGAAGAAAAGGTCAGAATACATACCTGGGTAGGTTGTACAGAGGAGCCATCCTGAAACAGGCCACAACTGCCCGTTTCCGCTGCTTTGACAACAGCTTGTGCCAGACAGCCTTCTTGGACCTTAGAGGTTGTTCCACCTGTGAAGAGATCACACAGGTAGGTACATGCTAGGCTGATATGAGTGGCAGAGGAGAGTCACCTGTAGCCCAGGCTTCTTAACCCTGGAAGAATTTTGGCTTTCAACTGTACTCAGAAAAATGTACATAGCAGTAGATGATTCCATTTGTGAAGGTATTGGGTTTTCTTCTTTCTCCCATGTGCTGTTGGCCACTTATTGCTTACCAGCAGCTTTACAAACAGTAAAAAAAAAAGTCATTTGAGATAATGGCAAGAATTTTTAAAGCAGTGGAAGGGAAAAGAATTGAGGGATCTGCTATGAAGCAGCACCAAAATGATACCTGAGGATGATATAGGATGATCCTTGTTTTCTCAGTCTTTTAAAAAATTATACACACACACACACACACACACACACACACATTTGTAGTTGTATTTGGACACAATATCTTTATTTATTTATTTTTATGTGGTCCTGAGGATCGAACCCAGTGCCTCACACGTGCTAGGTGAGTGCTCTACCACTGAGCCACAACCCCAGCTCCTGTATTCTCAGTCTTTAAAGGATACCTGTAATTGAGAATTGACTGTGGAGAGGAGCTTTGTATTCCCCAAGGTAGTCTTTCTTTGTCCCTCCTTAGATCAAATACTCCATACCTGCTCCAGGTGGAAGACAGCTGCTGAAATTCTCTGTACACGTTCCACTGTCTTCTCTGGATTTGAAGGTTCTTCACTCCTCAGAACATCCTTGTAGAGGTTCAGTTGCCATTTTACAGCGGGGTCATCAGACTAAAAATTAAATCAGATCCACAAAAATAATTAATTCCTTGTACCTCTGGTACTGAAAAAGGCTACCAGGGTTTCCATACGAATCAAGACTGTCTTTTGGGCTAAGGATGTTCATCAGTGATGGAGTGCTTATCTACCATGTGTGAAGCCCTAGGTTTGATCCTC